GAGAGTGTTTATAAAGATTTACTGACAAATATTTTTTGATACCCGAAATCACATTTATGACATACATCAATAGTTTCATATAAATAGATGCCCCAAGGCAATACACGATAGAAAAATATTGTGTCAAGACCATAAATTTGACATGGTGTGGGAAACTTACTAACTAGAGCTCTATAGGTGACTCCACATTGAAACATATATAGGAATTAGCTCTAGTCACCTCCACAAAATATGCTCCAAACAAATACAGCCCAACACATCTTGACTAACTCAATAACCAACATCTCTTAGTTTACCATTTGCATAAGAAACCACCCACTTTATCATGTTCTTAGGCTATGAAAGAATCTGCCAAAGAAGCACTTCAACATCCGCAAGAGTCTTCATTGGGTACAGTTCCTTTCTAGCCTATACTTTTAAGATAATGGTGCAATGTATAGATCTAATGAGATCCTGCATTTTGTAACCTTCTATTGATTTGGCATTTACCCATACAAGAGCCTCCTCATTCATTGACAAACTTCCCACTCATATAGCACTTGCCATGTGGGTCATCTATAAGACTGTGTCATCAATAGCACACAAAACAATCTCTTGCACTGCAAAATTGGTCCCCATTCATGGAAAATAGCCAGAGCATAAAATCATTGTCATAGTCCTCACTTACAAGACTGCATGCTGCTAATGATCATCAAAAGTGCCACTCACACCATTAAAAAGACACTGAAATGAAGTGCCACCCGGAAACCTAAACCCATCACTGTGTTAATGTTTAAAATGGCTATGGTGCATTACATTTTCCATGTAGCATTGTTTTTTTCATATGTGGCATGAAAAAGGGTGTGGACATGCATGACCATGCCAAAAAAATGGCTTCAAAACATGTCTATAAGTTTTGAAAACTTTCAATGAAAATTATACATTCACATGTGTTTTTTAAGATTTAACTTGTGCCCACAGGTGTGTGCCAAGCCTGATTCCTCCCTGCTGAACCTACTGCCACCCAGGTTCAGGCTAGGCCCACCGTTTTCCAGCACAAGAAAAATTCAGTAAAAAATAAAAATAATTCCTGCATATACAAAGTAAACACAAATCTTTGCTAGAAATCAAATGTTTATTGCTGAATGTGCTGCAAAGCACTCTTAAAAGCTTTTCTACCAAGTGTTTGATTCTAGCAGAGTAATAAACGTATTATATCTGGAGCTCAGAGTAAAAGGATCTGAAGACGAGAGCTGAAGGAATTGCTTAACCTCTCAAGGTTATTTACCTCTTTTTTTCTGTTTTCCAAACACAGGTTATTCTATCATGATCCAGGTTTCTAGAGTCAGTCCTGGATATGGAGCTTGGCTGTGTTTACGGCTCTATAAAAATGTTTGTAAAACGAATATTCTGTGCTGTGTTTGAGGCAGACTCTTCTAGAGCTTTTCTCCTAGACGATTTGAAAATAGTTATACTCTCTGCGGTGCTGGGGTTTCGGTGACACCATCATAGCTGCGTAAATTCGGAGCAATCCTTTTGGCGTGACGCTTCACTTGCCTCTTAGACAAAGCCACCCTGACGTGGCATGTCAAGCGCCAGGCTGGGCTGTGTTTAATAAGGTAAATTTGGAAACAAAGCCCTTCTAGACCTTTTCTAAGCGATAGGCTTCTCGACGAGTTGAAAATAGTTATACTCTCTGCAGTGCTGTTGCGTCTCGAGGTTTTGGTGACACCATCATAGCTGCGTACATCCGGAGCAAATCCTTCCGGAGTGACGCTTCACTTGCCTTTCGGACAAAGCCACCCTGACGTGGCATGTCAAGAGCCAGGGCCTTGTGGTACTTGTAACGCCTCCATGCAAGCTGGATGTTTACAGCTGCCCAGGTCCGCCATCCAGGCGAGTAGTACCGGGTAGTGTGCCTCAGCTTCTCGTTGATGAAGGTGTGCTGAAAGTTCTGCGTCACGTACTTCAAGTCTTCGGCTTCAAGGCCAAACGCCTCCACTGATTCCAGGCAGCTGATGGTGGCAATGGAAGGTGGCAAACTCGCAATTGTGTCGGATGACCTGTATAGGCACCACGGTAGAAGTTCTTCCCCACAAAAGTTGCCAGGGCCCAGTGTGACAATGCTCATTTTGCTCTTGCCCACTCGATACACGCTCTCAAGTTGCCCACGGACCATAAATAGCATGCGTAGCACGGGGTCGCCTTCTCTCATAATCTGACGTGCACATTTTCAGAGCAGCCGGCGTTAATAAAAACAAAGACTACAGCGGAGCTTCTTACGATTTCGTCCTTGATATAAAGGATTGGCTTTACGCGGTCACAAATGTTGTCTAAAACCACTTCGTCCATCTGTCCAAACAGTGGGACCTGCATAATTTAACAGTAGGAATGGATATTGACTAATCTTTATCATTGCAGTGCTTGCCTGTCGAACAAGGTCGAGACAGAGGTGCCTCTTGATGTCTCGTTTGATGCCATCTGGCAAGTCACAAACCATGGCATGCTCGTCTACACCCCGGGTGGAAGCCCATTTCTGCCGCTCGTAATGTCGGACACGGTGCCTGAGGCGAGTTGGAAGCTGACGCCTCTTCATCCAGTGCTCCAGGTCCCTCATCTTAAGCTGCATTTCTTCTTTCTTTGAAGTCATAGAATAGAGAAACATCTGCCGTTTGACATGGTCGCTGTTAGTCCTTAAACATCAAATAATATTCTCAACACCTGAATGTTTCCAATGAGAAGTGTGAAGAGCAATAGGCCACAGGTGATGACAATGATGCTGAATGCAACCTCTGGTACATGGTTGGTGGGCTCCAAGTTTCCAAATGAGCTGCACATTGGCCCTGATTCAAATGGCTTTAAGTGAAGAGGCTCTTACCTTAATGTCATGAGACCCCAAAAAATTGGGTAGCTTATCCGTTCCAGCCAGTTCCTGGTGAGGGCCAGAGGTATTGTTGGCTGGTAGATTCCGTAGCTAAAAGTGTTGGTATAGTTGGAAATGCATGAGATGAAGGCGGCCGAGTTAATGCTGAGAGGTGATGTAGTTGATCCTTTGACTGGGGCATGTCCAAACGAGATAGGTTTATGGCAACCTAGCCATGAGGATCGAAACCCCTTCTTTTCGAGCTGAACATGCATACATGTCTCAATACGCTGAAGACCCAGTAGATACCAGCAAGCTCCTGCGACCTGGACGATACAGACCAGAGTAAGTAAATGTGAATGTAGTGAGTGAAGCTTACATGCGAGGCAATGAAGTAGGCTGTGAGATTGAGGACAAATCCCCACCATGCGCTGCTAAAAATGTAGCCTGTCACATGTTGCATTCTTCGCATGAGAAGAACCAAGTGTGACACCTTAGGCAGGTACTGGAGAATAAAAACGAAGAGAACGAGGCTCATCATGTGAATTCCCTGGTTACGCTTTGTGATCATCCCTGGAACTATCAGCCAGATCAGAACCTGCAGAATGTGTAGTCAGTGTTCGAATGGATCTCGTTCATTTTCAATTACCTCCATGATCGGCAGCATAACCAGAACGTCGCAGAGGAAGCCCTCACGTTGCTGAATGTAATGCAATGCTACCTTCTTACCGTCCCACACCAGTTTTCCCCTCCCAACGACAAGGCTCTTCTTAGACACGAATGCAAGTTTGAGCTGCAGCCGGACATGCCACAGCAGCATGACATCGATCGCTGCCCGAAGAATGGTCACCAGTGCTGCAAACCACCCGTCAACATGAAGGCAGGTGGAGTCCTCATCGATCGAAACGACATACAGGAATAGGGGATCGATTGCTAAGCTGAGCCCACGAGATACAAGGAAGAGCCGGTTCCAAGCACGGATATACCTGCTTCTTGGGTCCAGGACTTGACCAAAGATCCAGCTGCGGCTCTCACTAGATCCAGGCTCGGGTTTGTTGCTCGCTTCTGGCTGTGCGCCGCTGCTACTGCCGCTGGTGGTTGACAATGGCCGTGTAGTAGGACCGGATGACAAGCTTAAGTCAAAGCGATCTCTAGGCTTGTCTCCCGGAATCCTTTTCCACAAGTTGAACAAAGCAGCTACTCTTTGCACCACGGAAGACATCCTGCATCAAAAGAAGGGTGAGGCGGGGAGAAGTCATTTCGATGTGATCAATTACTTAGCCAAGCTAGTGAATTTGAGAGCCACCGATCGAAGTCACAAGGATACAGAGGATGGCCAACATCAGATCATCCGTTTCCCTTGCCTCCTTTAATTCTTCTTCTCCATCCAATCGGGCCAACATAACGCCATGGCATTTGGTTCATAGAGCTAAAGAGTGAACACTGAGCATCGCAGGTACAAGTTCGAAAACTAGCATCTCAAATTTCTTTGTTCAGCGCAAGAAACATTCGCTTCGCATTTCAAGGAAGAAAACAAGATACAAGTGCACCCTTTGCTGTTTCTACAAGGCCATCTTTTGCATTTTCTCTCTGTCGCGACTATCGAATTTTTTATTTCTATTTTTCATTGACAGGAAATAAGTGGCCTGTGGCCATTTTTTTCTTATCATAGTACAAGGCAATGGTGTTGTGTACAACGATATTTATAACATCAGCGTTGATAGCGACATCAGAACTAAAACGTCATTTAAAGACTTTAGAAGTGTGGGTGAAAGTAACAGCACTCGTGGACAGGATCTCATTAATATCAGCCACATGGGAAATTCCAGTAGCTCCAGCAAGCACGGCAGCTTTTGCTTTTCTGTTCGAATTTCATAAATTTGGAAGCTTGAAGTTGTTACATGGTCCTTGAAGCTGATTTTCAGTTTAATGTAGAGTCCATATTAGTTCCGTGGCAGCTGAATCCTGGGTTTAACAGCTTGTGAGCACCAACCAAGAAGAAGGTGAAACCGAGGTGCCGCTAGGATTGATGGAGTTTAAAAGTACATGTAATATACTCAAGAGATCTACTGGGGAAAAAGGGACAAGCCAATGCTCAACATGACACCAAAATGTAGCCATTCAGATAAATGCCGAGCGCGCATGCTATAACTGTAGGTAGGTAAACATGTTCTTGTTATTCTTATTACCTAGCTACAGCCGACCGAAATTGTTACAGAAGGTACTCTGCGGGTCTTGGAATTGTCCTCCATGGCCTGGTTCGTTTCTTTGTCGAATGAACCACTGCTATGTAGGATGTTCTTTCTCGCGGGCTTGCCTCTGCGCTTCTTGCGCGTGATTGCAATGGCAATGTCGTTCGGAAAGAGTGTCCTCCACACAAACGCATGGACGAGAGTGAAGACAAACAAAAGGAAGACAACAGTGACCGCCACGAATGAAATTACTGTGGCCAGGCCTTGCGTAAACAAGCCGGGTTCTCTCACTGCGTAGTGAATCGAGGCAATGGCAACAGCCGTGAGAGGGAATGTGTATGCCCACCACGTCAAAGAGAACCTGTAGCACAGCACAGCCGTGTTAGAGCAAAATGATGGAGAGGGCTTTAAAGTAAGTACTTGAAGCCACGAAAGATACTGACGCGAACAACCTGCATGTAAAAGCGGAGCTAGATGTTAGCAACTTGAGACTAAGCTTGAGCTTTTCTACCAGCGAGAAGAGCAAGAAGAGGCCGAGAAAAAAAACGAGCTTGGAAACGTATCCAAAGTCGCTGGTGATCTTTTCCCAGGCAACACTAGCGGTGCTGGGAACCGCGAGAAAGAGGAAGTAGACAGGGTGCATGTCCCGCGTCAGCAGCTCGTTGGTTGGCAATCGTTGGTAGAGCGTGACGAAGACGACGACATAGTGCGCGATGCCCACGGCCCAGAAGAAGGTTGCGAGCTCCTTCCACTCGACTGTGGCGCCCAGCAGCGACCCCACAAAGTTGCCCACAATGGAGACGTGCGTGGCGGGGTTGGCCACCTTGGACAGCCTCCGCTCCCCTCCGGACAACCATTGGCCATAGATCTTAAGCTCCAGCACCACCAGGGGCGACATGAAGACGAGCCAGGCGGCGGGATGGATGGAGGCGGCGATGGTGGGGGGCACCCCGAGCGTGAGAAACATGCCGCACACCCAGGGAGCAAAGAAGAAGTTGATGCGCACCGGGTGGTAGAACTCACGCCTCACAGCCTCAAAGTAGAAGATGCACTTGCATACATAAGTGAGGGAAATGAGGGTGTAGGCGCACAAGGCGACACACCACAGGACGAAGTTAATGTGGAGGGGGATGTGAAGGAAGCGCATCGAAGGCATGAGGGACAGCTTCTTCCACAAGATGGTCTGGCTGCCTAGACCCAGCACGATACCGAACGAGTTGATGGGGAAGCGGAGCAAAAAGGGCCACGTCTGGTCCGTTGGGAGCAGCAAGTCTTCACTCTCCTGCGCGCACGTTTAAAATTCAGCTCATCACCTTTTACTCTAGTGTAAAGTTACCTTGAGAACTTCCAGCTCGGGTCCCTGAAGCGCATCAAGGTATCGACCCGCAGGGACATTTGCCTCGAGTGGTCGTGGTGAGGTGGGATCGCCATTAACAGCAGCAGCGGTGGTGGCGGCGGTGGCGGCAGCAGCAGCAGCGGCACTGGTGTCGCGGTTCCTTGAGTTGAAACTGAGCCTAGACATGGGAGACCTTGTCTGGAACATGGTGTACGTATCCGGAGTGCGCCTCTTCCACGGAGACAGGGGCTCCTCCCGTCGCATTACACCCGAGAAGCTTCTCCTCCATCGGTGCAAATCCGGATTGGGGGTGCTGCCGAGCTGCGAGCTGAAGCGCTGGTAGTTTTTGGACTGTTTGCTGCCGACCGGTTCGTGCACTTGATCCATGAGACGGGGATCATCGTTAAACGTGTCCTTGGCTTCCAACTCCAAGACACGAAACGAGTCGGAGCGATCGGAGTGAAGCTTCTCCTCAGCCATGACCAAAAACAGGCGAGCCGAGCACACAGATCACATCCAGAGTGGTCTATCATCATCTACTTATAGGCCAGGCACCAAATGCATGGAGTGCCCAAGCCACGGGGAGCTAAAGAGGAAAGGGAAGAGTGCTCCCCATCAACTTTTTGGTGATCGATCGAAGATACTCGTCGATCGATCACTCGAGAGATTCGATGCTCCCATAACAATCACCCAAGAAGCCGTGCTCTGACTGCCTTACCAGATGGTGCGGTTCTCTTCCACATTCATCCATCCATCCATCCACCAAACTAAAAGCTCTTTTGACATCGGAGAGCGACCGAATTTCTTTTCTGAAAGGATTGCTGCTCGATCGAAACGAGAGAGAGAAAGAGAGAGAGAGAGCCATACCGATCCCACGGCCGTGGATGAGCCACGTCACGCGGTCCTCTCCCAACGGCTAGTGACCCAAGCTTGTTCTAGGTCAGTGTGGGCGATGGGCTCTGGCGGCTCTGGGAATCATCCGGTAGAGGTGGTGGGTCGCATTCGCGAGCAGCCCGATCCTAAATCCTGTCCGGCCGCTCTGTCGGCGGTGGGGAATGGGTCGTGTGTGCGCGTCAAGACGGATCAGGGCTACCGCGACTTCCTACTCGACGGTGTCTCTTTCTCTGCGCACGAGAAGCTGCCCGCCTTCTACGCCAGGTATGTCGAGTCGAGAGTGGACGATGTGCGCTGCGGTGGCCGCTGCACGATCATGATGTATGGGCCGACGGGCGCGGGAAAGAGTCACACCATGTTTGGGTCGGCCAAGGAACCCGGTGTTGCCTACCTCGCCCTTCGTCACGTCATGAGCAAAACCGCTGCTCAGGAGGTTAGCGCCAACGTCCTCGAGATCTACAACGAAGATGTGTACGATCTTCTGGCCGGTGGCAACACTCCGCTCTCAAGCCCTGGCCCAAGATGTGCTAAGTCCATCTCTGGACGGGTAAACTTTGACAAGAATGGCTATGTTGCCGCCACTCACGCTCTCATGCATGCAGCCCAAGCTGGAGGTGCGGGGCAAGAAAGTCAGGAATGCTACCAGTATCTCGAGCATAGATCCCACCAAGCTTGTCCAGGAAATCGCTAGAGTTGAGAAACGACGTGTTGTGAAGAGCACCAACAGCAATGACAGGAGCTCCCGGAGTCACTGCATGGTGCGTCACTCGCTTTCCCCTTCTTTCCTCCTGCAGAGCTTGAAAGTTGCACCCGTAGGTCGTGCTGAACATCCTTGGTGTGGGCGGAAGGCTGGTGCTCGTGGACATGGCCGGTTCGGAGAACTCCGAGCAAGCTGGATCAGAGGCAAAGATGCAGGTATCGCCCGTCTGGTCTTTCATTGAGTGCATACCATTGTCTGTACGTCTGGCAGACCGGAAGAATCAACCAAGGCAACAGTGCTCTCAAGAGAGTTGTGGAGTGTATTGCAAATGGAAACCCGTATATTCCCTACCGGGACAGCAAGCTTACTATGCTCTTACAGGCAAGCGAGTGCTCTAGGAACGATATCGTCTTATATTCCTTTTCTCCAGGACTCATTTGAGGTCGATGGATCGAAGATATTGATGGTTTTGTGCGCCAGTCCAGATCCAAGAGACGTCTACAAAACGATATGCACGCTTGAGTACGGAGCCAAAGCCAAGTGCATTGTTCGGCTTCCAACTTCTCCCCCTAGAGACGGCAGCAGTCAGAATAGCAGCGAGGCTGCCCTACAGGCTCGTCTTGAGTTCAAAGACGAGTGCCTGGAGAGGCTGCGTGCGGACTACGAGCAGAAAGTGAAGGATCACGAGGAGGAGATGGAGAAGCTGGCAGACAGAGAGATGGAGCTTTCCAATCTGAGGACGAATTTGGAGAGGGTGGAAGCGGAGTGGTCTGGGAAAATGGCGGAGTTCAGAAAGGAAATGGGTCGTGCGATGGAGCTCAAGAGCCAGGAATTGCGCATAGCGCTCGAACTTGAGGTGCGAGAGAGGACTCCCGGGCTGGACGTGGGTTCGTCTTCGGAACAAGAACGTTTAACAGAGCTGGAGCGAGTTGTGGAAGATCAGAAGCAAGAAATTGGGCGGTTGCGTCTGAGGGCCGAGACTGCGGAGGCTGAGCTTGTTCGCTTGCAGCAGTCAACGCGAATGGTAGCAAAGTCCCGGGAGAGAGCGGAGGAGGGGCTGTTGTGTCTGGACACGAAGCAGCTGACACAGGTATCCGCAGTCGAGAGCTTGAACTCGTGGGCATCGCACGCCGCTTCTCCAAGGCTGCTGTCGTGTGCCGCTGACAACGGGCCTCCATCTTCGGCACAGACAAACGCTGACTTCAATTTCAGCTGCGCGTTCCAGCAGAAAGCTTCTTCATGTGGTCAAGTGTCAACGTGTCCGGCCAGCCCTACAAGCCCCACAGCTTCGGCTTCGCCCAGCGCTGCAGCCGCCAGGAGAGCCCGGATCGAGAACATCTTCCAGCTGTGCGGGGACGGTCGCGAGAGGTGCAAGACGGCCAACTCCCCCAAGCCGCCCAAGCCCCCCGGGAACAAGTCGAGCCGTCCGTTGCGGGCGGTGGAAAATCAAACCGCCGCAGTCAGTCCGCCGCCACCATGCAAGCTGCGCAGGCACGGTGAAAACTTAGCGCCATTCCCAGAGGTGCCCTAACCTGCAATGGCTTGTGCGGTGGTGACCGGAGGCAGAGGGTTCCTGGGACGGCACCTGGTGCACAAGCTGCTGGAATCCGGCAAATGGGAGGTGGTGCGGATCATGGATCTGGCGGCTGGCCTGGCGGTGGACGCGGATGAGGAGAAGGCGTTGAGCGCGGCTCTGGAGAGCGGCAGGGCGCAATACGCTGGGGTTGATCTCCGCAATCTCCCCCAGGTGATTCAAGGTTGTATGCCACGAAGCGCTTGCGTGGTTGGTTGACACGCTACGCTCTCCTCCTTTTGACTTGACAGCTCTCGAGCATGCCACCGTTGTCTTTCACATGGCTGCACCCGATTCCTCCATCAGCGACTGGAAGCTGCACCACTCGGTCAATGTGATTGGTAAGTGGCTGGCCATCCATCCAAGCAATCAGATCCCGAGTGTTGGGTGTTGCAAGGCACGCGCAATGTGATTGAGGCGTGCATCGAGCAGGGTGTGCACAAGCTCATCTACACCAGCTCACCCAGCGTTGTGTTTGACTACATCAATGGGGTCAAGGATGCGGATGAGAGCCTGGCGTACCCAGCCAAGGTGCACTCTGTCTCTCTCTTTCACCCTCTCTGGCTTGTGAACTTGAGGAGCTTGTCACCTGCAGCTCATGGATTCGTACTCCGAAACCAAGGCGCAAGCCGAAGCACTCGTCCTGGATGCCAACGGTAGGCATGGGCTGGCCACCTGCGCTATCCGCCCGAGTGGGCTGTTTGGGCCGGGTGACCGGCTGTTTTTACCGTCGATTGTGGCAGCAGCCAGAGCAGGCAAGCTCAAGGTGTGCGCTTCTGGTGTCGATGGCCGAGACTCACGTGTGCCTCGACTGCTTCAGTTTCAGATCGGGAGCGGCGACAACAAGTTCGACTGGACCTATGTTGAGAACGTGGTTCATGCTCACGTGTGTGCCGAGGAGGCATTGGTGGATGCAAGCGGTGTTGCTGCTGGCAAGGTAAGGCCATTGTGTTCCTCCCTTCCCTGGAGGTCAGGTCGCTTGCTCGCAGGCCTACTTCATCACCAACTGCGAGCCGGTCAAGTTCTGGGAGTTTCTGTCCGAGTTCCTGGAGCGATTGGGATACCCGCGGTACGTGGGGCAAGCGTTGCATCGAGTGTATGAGCTAACTCTGGCTTCCTTGTGCGTTGTTCCATGATGCAGGCCCCAGTACCAGCTGCCAGTCGCCTTGGTTCTGCCCCTGGCCTGCATTGCCGAGTGGGCTTGCAAGCAGCTTGCACCGCTGGGGGTCCCGATGACGCAGTTCACCCCCGCCAGGATACGCTACATGAGCTTGTGGCGAACGTTCAGCTGCGACCGAGCCGCGACTCTGCTCAAGTACAAGCCGCTCTACACAGTGGAGGAGGGCATCCAGCGGACGGTGACGTCGTTCCAGCACCTGCGGGCTTCCCCAGCCGCCGGCGGCGATGGCAAGTCAGCGGCACGTTGGTGGTGGATGGTCCTTGTAGCCGTCGTTTTGCTCGCGGTATTTTTCCAGAGATTCCTCCACGAGGTAGCCTAGACTAAAGAAAGAAACATTTTGGTGCGAAATAGGCAGAGATTTAGGTCGTGGTGATGGCGGCACTGGTGCTGGGCGGAGCGGTCGTGAGTCGGACAGAAAGGCTGGTGCCGCTGTCTTGCTACGGTGATGCAAGGCGGCGCCATGAGCGGCGGCGGCGGCGGCAGTGGGATGGCAAGACGCAGCAGCAGCAGCAGCAGCAGCAGCAGCAGCAGGAGGAGGAAGAGAGCAGGGTGAGCATCACGGTGGAGGATCTCGGCAGCAGCGCAAGGGATGCCCTTGTGCGGATGGCACGAAGGGGCGACGAGTGGCGAGCAAGCCTCGTGTCTATGACTTGCTCGGCTGCTGTGGCCGGGCGATCCGCGTCCGCAGCAGACTTGATGGGCTTGGGGGCGCTGTGCCTGCTTCTCGTGGCTCTGGCGACCAAGGCTGTCATGGCCTTGGCGGCCAGGGGAAAGAGGAAGCTAGTGGTGAGGAGAGATCGGAGCTTGGGCGGCAGGGAAGTCGTAGTTGCCGCGCACAACAAGATACAGAGCAGGCCCCTGATCCCTCTCCACGATTCCCCATCCAACCTTGAGAGGCGGCAGCAGCAGCAACGGCGGCCAAGGAAGGAGGAGGTGCCTGCATGGTGGCGCCCCGCATCATCACCATCCGCCGGTGATTCGTTTGCTCAAGCCGAGGCCAATGCGCTTGTGCGAGGTAAGGAATATTATGGAGTGGCACATATGCTCTTGCTTGAGCCTCAGGACTTGTGCAGCGGTTGTCAACAAGCGTTTGGGTGGCGTAGACTTCGACGAGGAGGACGCTGTACAGGTAGAAAACACATACACATAGACACACGCGCGCATTTGAGCTCAACTGTTTGGTAAGGCTGGCTGTGTTGTGTGCTTGTGTTCAGCTCAGACAGATTTGCAGACACTCTGGTGCAAGGGTTGATTTTGGCACCGAAAACACTCGTGATTCCTTCTTCCGAGCGGCCGTCGGATTCGTTTTGTCTGCCTGTTCCAGGTAGTAGCTATGTTCGTCTCCATGCTTAGCTTAAAGCTGTGGTTTCCAGGCTAATAAGCTCCGGTGACAGCGAGGTGGAATACGGCGGGGAAAGCATGGTGTCTTTCGTGTGCGGTTTGGCCGCAAATATAGGCTTGGAGCCTGCGAAGGCAGCTTCAATTGTGAATGCTGCTGTTGCTGCACGCACTCGTGCAGGATTTTTGCAGGCGTGGGTAAGTAAGAATTTCTGAGTCCATTGCTGCCACTGAGGGGTTGGTTGCAGGCGAACGTTGCCCAAGAGAAGATGAGCGACGCCATGTCCGACATCAGGCAGCTGGTGTGCATGCACCGGGTTTTCCCTCCCGAGCCCAACTCGGTAAGCGAAGTGTGTGCACGTATGAAGTTTCCAAAACTCGTTTCCCCACAGCCTCACATGGAGATGGTTGGCCGTGGCTTGGAAGCACACCTTACTCCCCAGGAGCGACTGGAGCTTCTGCAAATCTACTCCAAGCTATCGGCACAAGGGGCTCGTGTGGCAGAGGAAGCTCTGTCACTTCCTTCTTCCTGGATCAGCCTAGGTGACTGACTAATCGATCCATCTGGTAGGCGAACCAATCGACAAGAGCCAATCAAGAAAGCTGCATGCCGTGGCACCGAAGTTTGTTGTGTTGGACCGTCCTTATCGGGTTTGGTTTCGAGCAATATGAGCTAGCGAGAGTGCGAGAGAGTTTAAAACGCAGAGTGCCTTGCAAGCCACGACGGCAGACAGGCAGGATAATGATTTGTTTAGCTGCAAAACAGGAGCGTACGTTGTGCGAAAACACCGCGATCAAAACTCATTCTCTCTAGTTCGCTCTCTCTCCTGATTCTCTCTCTCTCTCTCTCTCTCTCTCGGACACGACGGATTCCGTGATTTGCTCCAGTTAGCCGAGAGCTGATTTGGAGGCGGATCTCACGGGCTCGAGAGAGCTCATCAAGGGCGCTGGATGTTCCGATCGCAGGGCATGGGCAAGGCGCAGGCTTAAGGAGACCAGCCATGAGCAGCAGCAGCGGCAGCAGAGGCAATGCAGCTGCAGGCATTGGGCGTTCTGCTGGAGGTGCTGCTGCTGCTGGTGGGGACTTTGGGGCAACTGGATGTGGTGCTCACGCGCCGGCCCCCGCCGGCAAGCTCCCACACCAACGTCTCGTTCCAGTTTGATGTCTTGGATGGGAAAGGGCGCCATCCCTGTGCCACATTACCATGCTCCATTCGCTGCAGGGTGGGTTTAAGGCTGTGCGTTTTCTGCCTCTTGATGGTTTGCTTTCCCTCCCCTTCAGCTGGACCAACTCGCGTCGGAGGATTGCTCGAGCCGCGCGGGAGTGTCTTACAGCAACCTGCGAGACGCCAGGCATACGTTTGAGGTGTCTGTCAACACGTCGACTGGGCTCCGCGCCTCTGCGCACTACTCGTGGATCGTAGGTATATATGGATCTAAGCATCTCTCCTATTGGCTGATCAGATGCGATATGACTTTCACAGACACGATCGCTCCCACAGCCGCCATAGTTCCCAGCCAGACGTTCACCAACGGCTTCCATGTCGCTGTGCGTTTTGTCTTCAGTGAACCCTGCATCGCGCCCAATGGTTTGCAGTTCTCGTGCGCAAGCGAGTCGAGCTGTCCCGTAAGTGGAGAAAGGGTGGTAATCATTTCAAGTGATTTTTGTCCATGGCTTACTCAGCTGGTGGTGCGTGGTCCGGGAGCTCTGCTGCCCTCATCGTTCAAAGTTATTCGTGACAACGTCGAGTACAGCTTGAGCGTCTCCCTCTCCAACTCCACCGCCAAGGGCCGGATCCTGCTGGTCATGGCCAAAGCTCTGTGCTCCGATGCAGCCGGTAACGTGTTCGTCAGAAGCAGCAACTCGGTTGTCATTGTCCGCTTTGGTAGGTGGATGAGCTCATTACGAGTCTGATATCATCTCTCTCAATTTGCAGATCGCGGTGCCGTATTCGTCAATCTGTGGACGCCCGTCGCCGACTCTCTCCTTCTTGTGAACAACGTGGCGAGGACAGTCGAGACCACCAACAGGGTGGAGGATCTCAAAATCTACCTGGATTTTACGGAGCCGGTGCTGAACACAACGCAGCAGCTGTCCGCGTTGCTGCGCCCCAACCTTGGGGTGCTTGAGCCTACCAGACGAAAGAGTCGAGGCAACCGAAGGTTTGCTTTCTTGGTGGGTGAATACAATACTAGACCATTTATGAATGACTCATGCTTTCTTTGCAGCTCACGAACATATCAACTACGAGTGCTGTCATCACCGTGGAGCTGCAGTCGAGCCTTGTTATCAGCAGAGCTGGCTCCCGTGTGCAGCCCGTAGCTCCAGCCAGCTTCTTGTTTGGTGCGGACGTAACTGATCATTACGTTGTTGTCGAGGTGCTCACAAGAGAATTGTCTCGTTTCAGATCAAGTGAGGCCTCAAGCTCTTGTTAGCACGCTCTGGACGTCGCCAGCTAAAACGAGGAACCGTCTGTTTCCAGTGCTGATCCAGTTCTCGGAGCCGGTCTTTCAGTTTACATCCGCAGCTGTGTCTACAGAAGGCGGAAGAGTTTCCAGGTACAAAGATCAATGAGGTCTCGAGGTTTGATGCGATTTTCTTGTGTTAGTTTCAAGGAGTTGTCTGAGGCGACATATTTCCTGGAGGTTGCAATTACTCGGGAAGATGATGTTGTCTCAGTTTTTGTTCCAGAGAATGCTACAACTGACGTTGCTGGGAACACAAACTTGGCATCCAACTTGTTGCGAGTGAGGCATTGTACGATGTTTGCACGCTGCGTCTTGAAAGGCCATGACTAAAGATTGTTTCCGTCCGGTGAGCAGACACTGTACCTCCCATATCCGGCGCACTCTATTCCTTGATTTCTGCTGGCTTGCTCGCAACAGCGGTGTTCTCTGCAGCCCTCTCCATCTCATGTGCAAGCTTAGCAGCAGCCGGAGCTCTAACCAGCAGCACCGTCAGTGCTATTGTCACAGATCCTTCACGAAATCTGCTGGTAAGAGCATAAAAAGTGCATCTATCTGCCGCCTAAAAAGCGATTCGATTCCCAGGGAATGGTCGGTCACCTCCAGGTATTTGCTCTGTCCGAGAGACTGACGGTTAGGAGCGTGCCGCTCGAGTATTCTGAAAGCGTGAGGGGACTACGATGGCTCATTCCACACGTCAAAGTCCCATGGGAGAAGGACCGACCGGTGTCTGATGCGTTTGATATCGACTCGCAGCCCCCTCCATCTTTGGTCGAGACAAGGTGGCGGAGGCTGGACGCTGCCATGCCATTGCATGGACGAAAGCTTGGCTCAAATTCGTCTACTTTCGGACCTCCTCTACGAGCTGCCGAATACCAGAGCTACTTTGAGGTTTTGTGGAATAGATTGTTAATCCAATGGCACCTTTTTTGACTGCTGCTTGCAGAAACCGCAAGCTACTTCTTCTCTTCAAGACTTGCTGAGGCGCAAGTACACGGGGTAAGCCATCTTCATTTTCAACATTTGCTTCATTCCGAGTGGGCTATGAAGGTGGCACGATTTTGAGAGGAATGTGTTTTGGTTGGCGGTGGCTGGACTGGCTCTCACACTTGTTCACCTGGCTACGTTGACGTTTCTGAGATGGCGAACCAAGACATCGGTGCGGGGAGCCCTCACGGTTCCTAGATTCGAGCTCTTCTTGGCCCTGCTTTCCTTGCCTTGCATCACGCAAGCTTGTGCATTCGTTATATCGGGTACGTGGCTCATGAAAAATGCTGTACCACGAATTTACTTAATTGTGGGTGGCAGGAGGCAGCGTTGCTGGGATTGTGGTAGGCGTGATACTTCTGGGATTGCCTGCCGCGTTCATGCTGTGCGTCTCTCTCTTCCTGGCCGCAGGGGTGGGCAATGCGGCATTTGTACAGTACCAAGAGGTGAGTTTAGTGGGGAGGAAGCAGGTCTCGTGTCATGAAGCAGTGTTAGCGTCCGTGGTTGGCAAGCGGACTTTTGGGAGGTGGGTGCGCAAGGCCGGGCTGTCGTCTACGTTTCTGCCCAGGTATGGGTTGCTGTTTGAAGACCGGAAAGGTCCTCCCAAAGTGGTGGTGGTGGATGCGGAGCAAGAGGCGACGGCATGGGTTGACAGTGGCTCCAACGGCATTGGAAGGATGAAAGGGATCAACTGGGAGGGCGAGCAGGCGGAGCACGCTGCCAAATGGAGCAGGAGATGGTCTGTGGGAGCAGCCAGGACGGCTTACATCGTTGTGGACATGCTCCGCCGGGCAGCCCTGGGGATCCTTTTTGGCGCGTACCCGGCTGCAATTGGTGGTGGAACAAGCCAGGTTCTGAGTGCGCTACTCATCACCGCGTCCCAGCTGCTCTACTTGATGCTGCTCAAGCCTTTGATTCGGCGGGGCGTCCACGCGGTGGAGGCGGTGTCGCTGGCGTGTGAAGCGGGAGTCTTCGCGACTGCTCTTGCTCTGTCATGGCATCGGTATGGCAAGGCTAGTGCATTTGTCATGCTGGCCTTTCTGCTCGTCACCTTCATAGCGCAGCTTGTGAATGAGTGGTATGCACTCATGGGACTGCTGCTCCGCCTGCCATCCGCGGAGCAGCCGTCGCTCAGCCTGGGGCTCAAGATGCTGCTGCGGGGCTTGCTGCTGCCGTTTGTCCCCCGTGCAAAGTGGTCCAAGTTCGTCACCCCGCACGCGAACAGGCAGCCGGCGACTGGCCTCGCCCCGGTGGTGCACTTCACCAGTCCGTCACCAGACTTCCAACAAGCACGGTCCATACGGCCGGATCAGGCCGGAGTGGGGGTTCCGGCACCGGATCCACAGCTGCCGCGGTCGCCAGCGGGAGGAAACAAGAAACAGACGTGGAATGAGTGGGTGAGATCGCTGTCCTTGTCGTCGTCGGCGCGGCCGCAGGAGGAGACACTCAAGGTGTTGCGGGAGCTCGCCAGAGCCAGCTTCCCGGGAGGAGATGAAGAGCGGGGCAAGCAAAAGATTGGCTGTGGGAGCAGTGCGGAGGAAACCACGTCGTCGTCGTCGTCGGGCGGTGCTGTTGCCCAGGAGAGATGAATCCTCAGAAAAAACGCAAAATGAAAAGTTTTAGCTAGGGTTTAACTAGGTCTGGCTTTGATGCTGCGCATGATGCAAAGGCACCTGTGTACGCCTGCAGCGATTCCGGCCCCGACACGCGGCGCCGCCTGCCTCGGTCTCTCATCCGCCCCTGCATCCGTCCGCATCTTCTCCCCACGACCAAGAGCACAGGCGCTGAGGGCCGTGTCCGATATGGCGTTCGAGCGGATCAAAGTCGATAATCCGATCGTGGAAATGGATGGTTCGATTTCGCACTTACCAGCTGGGTTGCCTGACCTCGCATTCCTGCTTCTCGACAGGTGATGAGATGGCCAGGGTGATCTGGAGCATGATCAAAGAAAAGGTACATGGATAGCACACAGCAGCGGCAAAGAGCAATCATTCCCTTCTTTTCTTGTAGCTTGTTGTGCCGTTTGTGGATGTGGATATCAAATACTATGATCTTGGCATTCTCAACCGAGATGCCACCGATGACAAAGTGACTGCTGAAAGTGCGCAGGCTACCCTCAGGTACGTAGGATTTTTGCTCCTCTATAGAGTTCCGGCGGCACCATATTGACTTGTCACAGGTACAACGTGGCCGTCAAGTGTGCAACCATCACTCCTGGTTTGTTTTTCCGTTTGCTTGCAACCCAGCCTCGGGCTTTCATTGTTGTCGCGCTGCAGATGAGACTCGGGTCAAAGAGTTTGGGCTTAAGAGAATGTGGAAAAGTCCCAACGGAACCATCAGGAACATCTTGAATGGTAGATCAGCTCAATGCATTCTATCTCTCATCTCCGCTTCAGGTACCGTGTTTCGGGAGCCTATCCTTTGCAAAAATATTCCAAGACTTGTGCCAGGTGATTGATTTACTAAAATGTAAGCTTGGTGCCGAAGCAGTCTTTTGCAGGATGGCAAAAGCCAATTTGCATTGGCAGGCATGCTTTTGGGGATCAGTACCGAGCAACAGACATGGTGATTCAAGGTCCTGGAAAGCTTAACCTGGTATACGGTATGTCATCGAATGTCATTTGTGGTATATACCCACTTATGTCTTTTAACAGTCCCTGACAATGGAAAGCCGGTGGAACTGGAAGTATATAACTTCAAGGGCGCGGGTGGCGTGGGACTGTCCATGTTTAACACAGACGAGGTCCTTATGCCCGTACTGTTTCCGAAGCAATGCCTGACATCTTTGTAAACGTCGTCTTGAAGTCGATTGCAGCTTTTGCGAAGTCGTCGATGATGATGGCCTATGACAAGAAATGGCCTCTATACTTGAGCACAAAGAACACAATCTTGAAGAAGTACGACGGCAGGTATGACTCTAAAGTTCTCAAAGGAAACGTCCACCTTGTAATGGTTGATCTCTTCGCCTCCAAGGTTCAAGGATATCTTCCAGGATGTATATGAAGCCGACTGGAAGTCAAAGTTTGAGGAAGCCGGAATCTGGTAAGCATACAGCCTATTGACTATATGTCCATGGACAATGCTGGCGCAGGTATGAGCACCGGCTTATTGATGATATGGTCGCGTACGCTCTGAAGAGTGAAGGTGGTTATGTATGGGCCTGCAAAAATTACGACGGCGATGTTCAGAGCGATTTTCTTGCTCAAGGTACGCCTCGGTGTACAACGTTGTCTCTCATTTATTTCGAGTACCCCCAGGTTTTGGTTCACTGGGTCTCATGACTTCAATTCTGGTAAGTCGAGGCAATTGGACGGCCTGTTTAATATGTGTTTGATGTAGAGATGTCCCGATGGGAAGACCATCGAAGCTGAAGCTGCTCATGGCACAGTGACACGGCACTTCAGGGTGCATCAGAAGGGAGGAGAAACTAGTACGAACAGTATAGCATCCATTTTTGCATGGAGCCGGGGACTTGGCCACAGGTAAGACGTCAGGCTTGTCTCTCGCTTTGGCTTTAGACCGTGAGTGCAGGGCTAAACTGGATGGTAACTTAAAACTACAAGAATTTGCTGAGAAGCTGGAAGCGGCTTGTGTTGGGACTGTCGAAGCTGGCAAGATGACTAAAGATCTTGCGATACTTCTCCATGGCCCGAAGTAAGTTGGCAACAACTTTCTTTGTTTGCTCACGTTTTCTGTTTGCTACAGGGCTCCTCGAAACATGTATCTTAGCACCGAAGAGTTTTTAGATTCGGTCGCAGGCGATCTCAAGCGGCGACTGTCCCCTGCTACTTCCAAACTGTAACCAGACTTACTTTTGTGTGCTCAGTCATTTATATTCATTCCATTTGATAACAGGGAGGAGCCACTTCTTCAAGGCCGCTGAGAATCAAAGCACAATAACTTGCTTCTCCAAGCAAGAAAAGTTTGTACAGAACGGAAATAAAGACTGCGCTTCTACACAAGCCTCTTTCACTTAACGTCTTCTTCATCAAATGCACCCAGGGCCTTCATGTCCTCCAGAAAGGCGGAATAGGAGTCGTCGATGCTTTGAGGCTTGACAGCTAGAACGGGAGGCCTCGGTGTTATGGCTGGGGCAGCAGCGTGAGTTACAGACGGCTTAGGCTTTGCTTTCGGTGCTGTTTCTCTTCGAACTCTCACAGACGCTGGCACCTGTCAAGGGAGTCGCAAAATGAAATAAATAGGTAACTTTCGAAGTTACGTACCATGGCAGTCAGGCCCGGAGTGTGCTGTGCCAGGGGTCGCTTTGTCGCTGTTGGGGCCGCAGACTTGACATAGAATGGCTTATTGGTGGTGGTGGTTTTAGGGGGGGCTTCTTGTGCTGTTGCTCTTGGTGCTACAGCTGCTGGAGGAACACTGCCGTAGGCCATGCCAACGTGAGGAAGACCTGGCGGTGGTGGAAACGTGAAATGTGGCTGTGATATACCAGCTGGTGGTGCAACCATTCCAGGAGGGGCCAGCGGCAACCTTGGAGGAACAGGGGGCGGAGGTCTCATTGCTGGCGGTGGTGGTGGTGGTGGTGGGAGTGGTGTCATTTGCATTGGCGTTACTAAGGGTGGCCGGACCACAGCAGATGACGTTGAAGCAGCTTTTTCTCGTTCAGAGTCGGAGTCGTCATCGTCGTCGTCGTCGTCATTATCATCGTCTCCAGAGTCTTGAGGTGGTGTATCTGCCAACTACATGCCAACGAAGGGTCAACACTATGACAAGAAGCACGCTATACGAACCTCTGCTCTCGCATCGTTCCCTGCTGAGGTAGAGGGCTCCCCGGAAGGTGGAATATACGTCATAGTCGAAGGCTTGGGTGGCAAGCGAGGAGCAGGAGGCGGCGGAGGAACGGGCACAGAGAGCGGGTCCAACTCACTCACTTCCCTGCTCACAGGCAAAGGTGGCGGAGGAGGTGGCGGCGGGAGAGGCACAGCTACATTCAGCTCGGGCGCTGAAATCACATGGACACCAACATTCGGGACCTAAGAGCTGATATCGAGCGATCGCGACATGTACCTGATCCTGTGAATGGTCTGTACATTGGCGGCTTCCCAGGTGGTGGAACTCCAGCGGGATTTAGCGTCGTATGGTCATACGCAGAGTCCTGGAACTTGTTGTAAGCACAAGTACAATGGAGTGCGGGACCGTGTCACCTGAGGTGTGTATGGCTTGTCGTCGTCTTCGTCGCCTGGAGCTTTTGCTCGAGGAGCAGGCAAGTGGCTGTCATCCAATAGACCTGTCAGATGGTTTGGCACAAAGGCATAAAACCTCTAGCAACAAACAGCTTACCTGAACATAACCGGATCTTCTCCTTTTTCTTTCATCTTGTCCACGTACTCCTGGTTGCACCCAGCGTTTATGATTGGTACACACAACCTGGGAGGTTTCAAGAGCATACCTTTCGCTTCTTGAGAACGAGGTTGAGAGTGTCCTCGAGCTGCCGCTTCTTGTGCCGCCTCGTCTTGTCCAGAGCTCCGTCTGCTTCTGTATCTAAAACGTTTGCCGCGCACTGTTTGTCAGTGTTGGCCTAGAAATGCATGCGCGCTTACTCTGGGTGTCGAGCTTCTTGATCTGGTCCTTGAGAGCCTCCGGGTCCTTTTTGAGAATGCCCACCTCCCTCACCTTCTTCCTCTCCTTTTTGTTCTGCAAACATGGAATTGAGCGACAGGAAGAGCAACAGCAAGCGCAACTCACTCGTTTCAACTCCTTCTTGCGCAGCTCCTTGCGGTATGCGTCCGTGGGATTCATCGCCTTGCCGCCCTTGCTCTTCATGGCTCCAGCCCTTGTGCCCTAGAAAATGATAGGGCAGACTATTATTTAAACAATAACGAGCCTAGAATCTGGTGGAGGATGGGATCCGGGTCATTCCCGAGGGCACAAATCCCCGCTTCTTCCTCAGGTAGAGCACCGGCGAGAACACCGCCAGCAACCCCAGCATGATTCCCTGCGACCAAACAAGCGTGATGGGATGACACTCGAAAACAAATTGGGTCGCCCACCTCGAAGCCGACAACGCTGAGCCTGTCCTCGGGAATGGACGGCACGCAGCTCCTGTAAATGTGGAAGATGTTGCTGCTGCTGTCTTGCTGCCTCGCGCTTGCCGCCTTGCGGGGGGCTTCCTCCTCGTCCTGTCGGGTGACGCTCACGCACTTGTACTGCATGTAGTAGCCCGTGGCGGAGCAGTGGTAGACGTCATCGTTTTCCTGCCATGGCGCCCGTGGGGCATTAGGCGCAAGCAAGAGATGGTGAAAGACAGTCCCTGGGAAACCTTTTGAGCGAGGGCGCAGGGCACGCAGCGCTGGGACGCGATGCATTCGAAGCTGGAATTCCCCTGTTGCTCCGATATCACCAGAGGCGAGGATGACGACGATGCCGTGCTGGAGATACAAGCACACATGAATCCATCCATCCATCCATCCACAGGCCGAGGGAAGCTTACCATTGATGCGCAACCACGAGCAAGAGGCCAAGTGCCAGCCACCGCTGCGCCATTGCGCAACCTAACCCTAAAATCGGGCACCACTCCATGGCGGAAGCGAGCATTGCGCGCGTGCTGCGCAGCGGGGCCGCCGATGGCGAGCACGCGGCTGCCGTGATGGTGATCAACGCCGTCGATACAACAGCCGGGTTGGGCATCTTCAGGCATTTTGTGGAATCGCTGGCTGCCAACCTTGCGTCGGGAGCGGCACAAGCGAAGTAAGTGTTTGCTTTCGTCTCTCTAGTTTGGAATCTAAACGCGCTCGCTTGCAAGCCACAGAGGATTGGTGTTGGTCGCATCGTCTTCTAGTCCGCAAACTTATTTCTCCGTGCTGAGAAATGTGTCATCGTCCTGGTAAGGACATTTTTCTTGCGCTGAACTCTTTGTGACTCGAGACTTCTGTAAAGCTTTCAGGTTCTGGACTGTTTTTCGGATCCCCTGGGGTGGGATAGGCTGATCTCGCCAAACACAACTAGTCTGGAGGAGATGAAAGCTATCGACGTGAGGAACCTCAGCTCTCTTTTCTCAAAAATTCACGAGGCTGGCAAAGGTAGTCTCCCCTTCTTTCTTTTGTCCTGCTTTAGCGATCAAGCGTGTGTGTTTGCCAGTGTTCGCCGATAAGCAACCTAAAGGAAGATTTGCTGTCGCGATTGACTCGGTACCAGTTGTCCTCCTATCTCTGCTTTCTGATCATTGATTGTGTCCTTTGTATATCGCAAAACCAGCTGACCTTTTTGATGCGGCACCACTCTTTGGCCGCAGTCTCGAGCTTTATTTGCCAGCTTCGGGCTCTCGGTACGACTTTGTAAGTTTGTATGTCTTCTAACAGGGGCGATAAATGTGCAGATAGCGTGTCTGCAATCCTGTGGTTCACGGATGGTGGTCTGCATCAGGCCAGGGTCGTGGACGCACTGGAGTATAATGCAACAGCCACCGCTTTTGTGGAGCCGCAGTTGGATTTTCTTGACGCGAGAGGTGTCGGAAGGCTACGAATCCGGCACAAGCGAAGAAACGGGCGGGTCTCAGAAAAGGTGCGTGCTCTGGCTATTCAATTGTGTGTGTGACAAGTCGAAATCGTTTCTTCAGGTGGATGAGTTCAGGGTGGAGGTTGGGAGGTTCAACTTCTTCCCCGTGGAGCTTGGCACCAAAGTAGACAATGTTGATGCGATTCACAAGGTAGTAGAGCTCTCATTTTTTTCCGAGGCACATGGTGTTGTGTGGCATGTTCAGGTTCAGTTTAGACTGCACCTGTCAGACAAGGAAGTGGAAGACAGATCCAGAGTGAGACTTCCCTTCGAACACCAAGGTAGGAGACTTCATGCCTCTTCCAAGGAGCTTAGCCTAGTCCGTTCTGTGTTTCAGGGGACGGACAGGAGGTGCGAATATATGACGGTCGCCAGTCAGAAGCTGGAGTCGAAACAAAATCTTCCAGCGGCAGCATTCACTACCTGCGGGATTCCGATGACGAAATGCCAGATTCCGACGAAGACCCCGACGATGACTTGGATATCTGAGCAGGAACTCTGGCCACTCAACCATTATACAACGAGTTTAAACTTTACACGGAGACTTGCGGATTTTCAAGCGAACATATTTCACCTGAGAAATGGTGTGGAAGAACGTCTTCTCAAGCACTTCGTCTGGAATTCCGGATCCAAACATGGACTGAGCAACGAACTAGAGTCCAGGGAGGTGGGAGTTGAGCGTGACGATGACTTTGGCGTTGGTCTTCCCCACGCTCATCTGCCAGTGGATGAGACCCTCATGACTTCGCCCTTGGTGATCACTCTGGCATACAGCCGGCTGTCCGAGGTGATGATAGCGGCGTGGACGCTGCCTTCTTCGACGTAGACGAGCTCCGAAGCTCGGGGATGGGTGTGCGGAACGATGATCCCACCCAGTGCGAAGTCGAGCCTGCCAATGGACAGGCCCAGCCCCGGGAAGAGTTGGACTGTTCCAAAGGTGGCACCAGCTCGGTCCACGTTGGTGAATTTGGAAGAATTGACGAGGCCGCAATAGATGAAGTGGGCGTTGATATTCAAGTCCATGGTGAGATTAGCGATGCAGAAGTCCTGGAGGGGGGTCCGGGTCGGACGAAACAGCCGAGCCGACGAAGAAAGCGAACAACACCAGAGTGCAGGAGAGTCATACATACGATCGGTCGATAAGCTTGTCGAAGGAGTGGGGGGATGGCTGGATTTGATCACCGATGCACGGGGAGTTGCGTTGTGCGCACGCAACTCGATTCGATTCAATTCAAAGCTGCAATTATCTCTTTGGTAAGGAGTCATGTCAATCCATCACACCGACACGGTCCCAGTAGGTAACTTATCACTAGGGGAGAGGAAAAAGTTTGCTTACAGCTTGTTACTTGTAGTATCCGATTTCCGGATCGGCTGCAACCGGAGACTTTACCTCTAGTCTCGACAAAACTTCTGGAGCTCCTGTTGGATCTCTTACAACCTGGGGCAAAAACGGCATCGTTTCAAACAAGTGAAACAAGAGCTACTCACCAGCACTTCTTCGTCCAAGTACGAGATAAGCAACAGCCTCTCGTAACTCAAGCCTCCACCTGATCAGATAAAACTTCCTAGTCAGGCTCACAGATGTACTTTAGGTGGTTTACCAAGTGGAAGCTTGAGGCCGCCAGAGACGCTATCCTTGACAGAGTCCGGAAGCCTATGAGCGGCAGCTACAAACTGGTCGTAAATTCCTTGAACTTGGGGTGGAATGCTGCCTTCCTTGACAAGCGGAGGAGCTATAACACCATCCACGTACTGCTCTTTAAGCCGCAATGGCCCTTGAGCTGAAATATTTGTTGTCAATATGAAGCTCGTCTCAATCTGCACCTCATCAAATGAAATGAGAGAGAAAGCAAAATAAAGTTGGCAATTGAGACCAGCAAACTTACCGAGTTCAAGAATTTGAGATTGAGAGTAGCTCTCGCCATTCCGTCCATTACTCGTAGCGTGACTCCTTCGATAGACAGCAATGCGGGGAACGTTCTACACATTACACAAGACACTGAAGTACTTTTTCCAACTTGCCTTTAGGACACGATGTACGTTATCAAAACCTTGGATGCCATCAACCGAGCTCCCGCCCACTCGAGATTCCAAAGGCCCTCGAGAAGAGGTGACCTGGGGACAAAACCAGACTTGTCTTTGTTAGTCGCATCATGCGTCCCGCTTACGTCGTTGGACGTGGAGTTGGATTCAAGCGCTCCACAGCGAGCAGCTTCTCACATATGTCGAGGACAGCAGCATCGTTGCTCGCGTTTAGGCCTCCCGCATCTTTCACCTAGTAGCAGCAAGGAGCAAACAAGAAAAATCGAGACTGAGGATAATGCATGGACTCACGGCGAAAAGTAGAGCCTCTTTTGCTGCGACGCGCTCCATTTCTTTTGCAAACAGAGCCGTGGATGGATTGGCGGCCCTGGTGACGAGACGGCGGCGCAGGCGCCTGGGAGCGGGAATCGCCGAGATTGTCGAGACCGCGAGCCGGAATTGGGCTCCAGGGATTGGAAAAGCTGGAGCCGGAGCCGCAGGCGCCCCTCCAACTCTGATACTCGCCATAGCAACACAAAGTAAATTAGGGCTTTAGTGCTCTGTTTTAGGGCTTTTCATTTGTTTTCCCGATCCACAAGATTATCGCCAGGCACAGTGGCACAACAGCGAATGCGGCGTCGCGAATGACTGCCTCGCTGCCTTTGGATAGCACACCGATTCGCGACCAGTCGCCACTATACCTGTGAAGCGACCATGTCAATGACAATACATGTACATAACAAACGCACCCGGCGTCAAGGAATCCCAGCGCGAACACTCCCACCGAGAGCTGCACGACCAGAGGAGGCGGGCTCTTGATCGCATTCGAGACAAGCGCCCTGCGACGGCGGCATTTGCTACGAGTAGTACGACTGCCTGGAAATGGCGCCAGCGTGACAAGAGACAGCTCCATGACGAAGAAAGTAACCCTATCTTTAAAAAATATACACGCGCTGCTGCAATGCAATGCTGGTGGAGGAAGAGATCACCGCCTCACTTTGCATTGGTTGGAGCGGAATGTTTTGGACGACACAACTTGGAGAATGAGCTTCTCGAACCTCTTGGCTCCCGGGCCGGGACGAAGGACGGACGAATCGCCCACCGTCAGGCAAGGGTCCTCGCCACTGTCGGACGATCCCAAACACCAGCCTCCGGGCACAAAGCGGCCGGGAACGCGTCTCAGGAGCTCCTTGTCGATCTTGTCCAGCACCGGATCCTCCCGCGCGAATTTCCTCGCGAACGGGGCGCCGCTGCTGGTCATGTTCTTGAAGAGCTTGGACGTGAGCGTGAGCGGGTGCTGCTTCGGGGGGTTGTCCCACGCGATGTAGTGCAAGTCGTGGTTGACGGTGGTGTTTCGAAACTCCGGCGAGTTGCAGATGACCGTGTGGAAGTATCCCTCGGGCGAGGATATAAAGTTGGTGTAGTACATGAGCAGTGTCCTGGGAAGATTGTCCCATCCCATGACGGTATAGTCCACAAACGCTCGAGACAATCCCACCCACGCCGACCCTGACCAGAAAACCACACAAACAAACGTTGAGAATCCTGAAACCTCTCTTGCTTTGCTCTTGTGTAGATACCTGTGAAGAGTTTGAATGCGGTAGGAAGAGACCTCCTCTGGGTGGCCCAAAAAACATCGCTCTTTTTGTTGAGGTACAATCCGGGATCAACAATGAGTGGCTTCGCCCTCTGGAACCTGGAACCCCAGCCGCCAGGCCATGTCAGTCAGCATATAGAGGTAACAAAAAGCAAAACGTACTCTTTCCACCCGATGTCGCTGGTGTGGTCTATGAAGTTGAGATCCTTGGGCAAGTACGACAAGACATGAAGCAAATCTGGAGAAACCAAAGCCTGGTTGTCAATCGCACACCAAAAGCATAGGAATCTTTCAAGCCACGTACCGTCCTGGGTAACGAGGGGGTAATCCGAGGCGCTGAGGTTGATAAACCAGTCCCAGTCGGGGCTCTGGCGAAGAAGGATGGCGGCGGCATGGAGCGTGCAGGACACCATGGTCGGGCCTCGGTAAGTCACCAGGTTGGCCTTGCCGATCACATGCACGTTCTTGACGTCGCCGAAAGTTGGATCCATCTTGACATATCGCGCCAGCTCCACTCGCTCCCGAGGCGGCGCCTCCAGGTCCAGGTGCAGCACGTACTGGTTCCGCGGGTGGTAGAGCGCCTGCAGAACCCTCCGCATGCGGTTGCCATCGCCTTTGGTTCCCGAGATCAAGTAGGCCAGGCGCGGAGGTGGCGGGAAGTCGGACGCAGGCAGCTGGCGGATGGGGTCGCTGCCGGATTGCTGGGCGCGCTGTGGCTGCTGCTGCTCCACGAACAAGTTGAGGTGGGAGAGATTGGCTCGCCCAAAGTTGATGGAGGTGGCCAGGAACAAGGCGATGGAGACCAAGGTGCTGGCCACCAGTGGTAGCAGCCACTTCCTCTCCACAGCCGCCACCATCGGAGGGGTTGCCTTCTTCATGTCCGGGGCCCTCGCCAAAAGCTCATATGATCCTGCCTAGTAGCCCGGATTAGAATTGGAGAGAGGATTCGCGTGCTTGCCGCGGGAGAGAGACTAGGAGTGGATCGACAATCCAAGCAAGATCTGGCTCCAGCTCCACTTCGAAACCCTGATCGAAGCCTAAATTCTTGCACTAACCGCCAAATGCAGCATGGACGGACGCATCACGGATCGAGGACGCGCACGGAGACCACCCCGAGACAAAGCAAAGGATCCGGCGCCTTGCATTTGTTGCCCCCCTCTGCTCTCTCGTCTCTCGCCCGTGCGCTCGCCATAGGCCCAGAGGTTGCTGCAAACAAAATCCGGCCGCACACGTGGCACGGGGGAATCGCTCGCAGCCGTGGATTGTCAGCAGGATTTGGGTGTTCTGGGAATCATCTTGCTTGCGGGGCGCGATGGGGATGTTTTACATCCGCTCCGCAATAGCACTTGGAGCGTGACAGCCACCAAACACTCTTGTTCTAATAGCTCTTTGCTGTTTCATCAGTGGCAACAGAAGAGAGCAACAGAGAAAGGATTGGAATGGCAGCGTGGTCAGATAATTGTAGTCTGATTCAGGTCACCACTACGATTCGCGTCTGAATCAATGTATCATCACCCCACACACAGGAGAAGCGAGAGAGAAGAAGGCGGCGCCCAAGAAACCCTAGAGCGGACACAAGTAAATCTGGTTTTAGGGTTGAGGGTTTTAGCTTTAGGGATGTCTGGGCGCGGGCGAGGAGCATTTAGCCGCGGGCGTGGGCGGGGTCGCGGAGGAGGGGGGCGTGCCGGGCCGATCATCCGCGACGAGACAGGCGGGATTCTCACCGCGAGGAAGCTCGAAGGGCCGCCTCCTCTCTTTCCGGTTCGTCCGCCTTCCTTGCGGTTTAAGACGTTGATAAATTAGTTTTAGGCGGTAGAGACACTACCCGAGAGGCCGGATATCACACAGGGAAACAATGCGTTCCTTGTGGAGCGGAGGAGAACTCTCCACACATTTTGGAACGAGTCGGCCTATTACATCGAGGCTGTCGACAAAGACACTTGTAAGCGAGATCCTTGGCTTGCTACACCACACTAAGTTCTTTGTTTCTCCAGCTAGCGTGCCTTCGGATGTCGAGCGTTGCTTGAGTAGATCCAAGCCTGGCCCTCAGACCAAGCGAAAGTCCTTGTCGCTCTACCTTCAGCTCAGCTCCATGTTCTTCCCTGCAGAGTTGCTAGGAAACCGTAAGCCTTTTTCGTTTTCATTCCTTGCTCACTGGTGTTTTTCGGTAGAGAGAAAGAAAAGGAGGGAGAATGACGAAGAAGGTATATGGAATCTGAAGGGGAGCAGCAAGAGTGGTGAGTGTGTCATCATGTCCTGGCCAGTGTTTACGCTCCCATTCTTTCAGATCTTGGTCGGTTGGACAAGCTAGCGTCCCTGGAGCAGAAAGTTGGACAGGTTTGGAGTTTGTTGATCTCGCTGCTGCGGATGAACAGAGAAACGTTATATATTCCAGAAAGGCGATAAGGAAGCTGGCGAGAACAAGGAAGGGGAAGGTGCAGAAGAAAACGAGGAGGACCAAGACATAGCTTTTGATGACGAGGATGAATTCGAGGACGACTATGGGAAGGTGCGTGTTGCTCCCACCGAATTTTTCATTTTGTTTCCTGACTGTTCATCTCCAGAACGAGGAGTTCGATGACGACGAAGAGTACGACTTTGATGATGGTGGTGGCGATGATGGTAAGGCGTACAACTCGTTGCTTCTCAACTCCTGAATGGTTTTGTGTTCAACAGAAGGCCCTACGTACTGAGGAAGGAACAAATGAATGCATGAGGAAGAGAAGAAGAAAAAAAAAAGGGAAAAGCTTCATGATTGAGTTACAATTTCAGGTGGCACAAAGGTATGCCTAGCAATCGCTTGGTTCTCAGCTTTCATTGATCGATTCATAGCTAAGCTATAAATATGCACGCAGGCGCAATATCTTTCAAGGATACAAAAGGTGGACATATCTGTGAGCTCGGATGAGAAACAGTGCGGGGACTTCTAGTTGACGCTGATATCTCCGCTCATGCCAACGCCCTGATGGGGTTCGCAGTAGAAGCCGTAGGTGCCTTTGGTCTGCAAAGTCACTTTGTAGCTCTCACCCGGTGCATTCAACAGGTCGGGGTGGGACAAGGCGTCGGCATTGACACCCGAGGGAACCGCGTCCTCGTCGAAGATAATGTTGTGCGGGAAGCCAGCGTTGTTTTCGAAGATGACGGTGTCGCCGGCGCCAATGCTGATGTTCTTGGGGATGAAGGCGAGGGAGCCATCGTCGCCTCCCATCTTGACGGTGACGGACGCTGCCAGAGCCGAGGATGCCCCCAGGAGAAGCCCCGCTGACACTCCCACCATCACTTTGCCGGCTCTCTTGGCCACGCCCTCCATGGACGAGACGCAGACGAGCGGAGCTTGGTGCTGCACTGGCCTTGCATTGCGTGCGATGCTCGGCTTCACCACTTCCCCGGCCTTGAGCCCCACGAATGTGGGAACTGCGAGCTTTGATGCTGCAACCGACGACGCCATCTGATTGATAGCAAGCAAGCAAAACCAGTTACTTCTTCTTCCTCCCTGGCTTACTTCTTCTTGTTCTTCCCTAGCTTACTAGCTACTGCTATGGAGTCGATAAAATGGGATGGCGTTACAGGTGGCGCAATCGGAGCCAGGCGAACTGGATAGAGAGTGCTCCAGTGCCTTGCTGCCACGTGTAAAGCGTATCCCGTGCCGCAAATGGGGCTTTGCCACGTAAGCAAAAGGCCCTTTAAAACCATTAAGCTTGTACGAAACAAAACCCCGAAGACCTTTAAGCTTGTTCGAATCTCCCAGAAGCATATTCAAGGTGGTTCGCCATCATAAACGTGTAGTTGCCAGACTCTCCGTTTCAAGGGATTTCTTGCGGGCGGGCAGAGAGATTCGCAAAGCAATGGGGTTCTGTGCGATCGTCGTCGCGCTAGTTTGCAGCAACTTGTTCATCATCGCAGGAGCGCAGAGATTCGATTTCTTCTACTTCGTTCTCCAGGCAAGTCCAATGCTAAAAACAGAGTATCTGTGACAGTAATTCGTTGCTGCGCAGTGGCCAGGAGCATACTGTGATCGGGGTCAAGCTGCATGCTGCTATCCAACAACAGGCAAGCCGGCCGAAGATTTTTCGATACACGGCCTGTGGCCTAACAAGGATGATGGAACTTGGCCCCAATTCTGCGACCCCTCCAATCCCTTTGAGCTGTCCCAGGTCAGTAGTACTCGATTGCAGTAACTATAAGCTAAGATCTCTTCGTCCATCAGATCTCGGATCTTCGTAGAGCTATGAACCGGGAATGGGGATCACTTGACTGTCCCAGCAGCAACTCCGTCGAGTTTTGGGAGCACGAGTGGGAGAAGCACGGCACCTGCGCCTTCAGGGACGAGCACCAATACTTTGAGAGATCGCTAGCGCTGCGGGAGCAAGTGGATCCCCTCGGCTACCTGGCCAGCGCTGGAATCCGCCCAAACAATCGCCTCTACAGCCTCCAGAGCATCCAGCTTGCGCTGGAAGACGGGCTGGGCCACACTATCGGGATCGAATGCAACCGGGATTCGTCGCGGACAGCGCAGCTCTACCAGCTCTACTTTTGCGTCGCCTCCGACGCGTCTACCATCATCGACTGCCCCGTCTTTCCCAACAGCAAGTGCACCACGCAGGTGGAATTCCCATCGTTTGGCCGAGGTATCAAACGTGATCACGATCATGAGATCGCCACCTTGTGACCAGCACCCGATGAAAGTGGAAATAAAAAGAAGCGAGAGGGGACCGTTTCTTGTCCCGCTCACGCAAAGGGGATGAATGAACGTAGCAAATCAATTCGGGGAGCATTTCTTTCGCTGCCTGAGAAAACTAATATTTCCAACCTGGCCATGAATAAACTATAATGCTTGAAGCGGTCAATGCGTGCATGCACACGCACACGCACCGCTAGCTCGATCCATCGTCATCGCCATGGGCCGCACTGCAATAGCGGCGATCGCGATGGTGTTTCTGGCGCGAGGGATTCAGGGCTTCGACATGTTTCTCCTTGTTCTCGAGGCAGGCCAAGTCAAAAGTATTCTGCAAAGATCCTCGTAAGCTTTTCTTTTTTGGACGCAGTGGCCAAACGCCTTTTGTAGCATCAACCAGTGCTGCTACCCGCCGGGATTCGCTGCCAATTTTACGCTCCACGGTCTGTCCAACGCCACGTCTCTTCCGGAGTACTGCGACTCCACGCCATACAACGCCTCCCACTCGTGCTCCCAGAAATCGTCGCCGTTGCTCTGCGGGCATGTGAGAGAGGGCCACCGCGAGCGAAGCTCGGGCATCAAGTCGGCAATCTGTGTTGCCAATCGATCTGGAAGTATCATGCAAGCGCTGATCTAATACCAGCAAGCCCACGGAAGCTGCGCCTTCGCGGACGATCACGACTACTTCGCCACGACGCTGCGGGTAATCCCTGCTCCCGCTGCTGCTGCACTCGAGAATCGTGCGCGTGTGCAGCGCGCGGAGCTTCGAGTCGGCGTCGTAGCTGCTCCCGTTGGGCACGATCCCGGCCGCGCCCAGATCCGCCAGCGGGTGGATCATGTCCCGCAGCCGCAGCTGTGGCGTCCCGGTCGACGCAGTAGTAGATCCGGCACCGGATTCGTGGATTGCCCAGCCGTCTCGTCGGAGGGGTGTTCTTCGCGCGTCTCGGTTCTAGGGCTCGCCACTGAATGATTCGAAGAATATCCGCCTCTTTTTATTTTATAATAATTAATCAGTCTTTGGAGCTCTTCATTGCCTTGCGCAGCTTGTAGTCCTCGAGCTCGTCGAAGTAAATGTCCCATACGCACCTCTCGCAGCCACTCCCGCAGCAATCGCCTGGAAGCGGCTTCTCTGGAGGCGGCCCAAGATCCTCCTCATCCTCCTCCTCCTCCTCCTCTTTCTTGGCCGGCGGCGGCTGCTCCTCTTTCGATCCAGCCCCATCTCCATCAGCCTTGTTTGGATGATTGTCCATACCGTTCCTCGATTTCCTGGATGATCTAGCTCGATCGCCGGAATCCCTGCCCTCGTTGTCGCCGCCGCGGCAAGGGGAGAAGCCGATCCGCCGCAAGAATGAAAGATGTGTCAGGAAGAGCATTGGAGTGACGCGCAGCATAAAACCTCCTGCTTCATCTAAGTGGTTTTGCCCTAGCCCTAAAATGCCAGGCAAGGCAAATGGAGACGAGGCAGAAGAGTCGCGAGGCGCGATTCGGATGGAAGAGCTACGCTCTTGCGGCGCTTGTCGCTGGAGTTGCTGTAAGCGATGTGATTCCTCGGCTGATCGATCGACGTTTGGTGTTCTCTTGACAGGCGACCAAGTTCCGGAGACTCAGACGGCCCTCTTCGTTTAACCAGGTATTGCTCGGGGAGCTTTTGTTTTTCCTTTCTTATTCAGCTAGTCTCTGGGTTTTTTACAAGGAAGCCAAATGGTACGCACCGGATGAGTCGGATCTCCGGCAGAGTCATTTGGATGAGCTAGAACGGAGAGTAAGAAGCTCGCCTTTCCTTCGTTCTGTGAGGGCTTTCTTACACCTTTTCCTTCAGGAGCGTGTTGCTCGAATGCAGGGTGCCTACGACAGTTTGAAGTCTAGCTACAGGAATGTCCGCACGGCTAGATATCAGAAGTGGGAAGAGCATCCCCAACGGAATGAGGAGAAAGTTGATGAGGCCAAAACTAAAGAGCAAGCTGCTTCCAAGCTTAAAGAACGATCCAGGCTGCGGCACCACTACGCAGTGCTCGGCCTTGACCCGTAAGTTCATGTCTAGCTTGAGGTTCTTTCGCATTGACGACTCGTTTCTATATATCCAGATTCAGAGACGAAGCATTTTCCGAAGAGGAAATCAAGGTGAGACAAGTGCTTTACGCGCTAAAAGCTAACCTTGGTTGGTTTGTCTCAAGATGGCCTTTCGAGAGCGAGCTTTGCAATTCCATCCAGACAAGAACCCCGACAAAGGTAAGAAAGAACTTCTTGGTAGATTAAATGTGACGAGTTCACTTTTGTACAGTCGAGGAGATGAGAGGAAAATTTAGAGAGCTGGTAGACTCTTACAAAACAATTAAATCCGAGAAGAAGATTATTTGATGCCAAAGGTTCTTCTTCTCTTTGTTTTTAATTGACAAAGTTTTGTCCTCCTTTTGCCATTTTTTCCGCGTGAAGTATTTGACCAGGTTATTCAAACAGGCAAAGAAAAATGCTGTGGGCAAGCCTGCTTACATAATCCACTGAAGAGAGCAAGTTAAATTTCAAAGATGGCGGTGACTTGGTAAGTATTCTCCTGGCGGAGTTTTATTATGAAGTTGATTCTTCTTCACATGCCGCAATCGAACATTTACAGGGTGAACGTTTTGTCTACGAATTTCAATTTAGAATCTTTTACTATTTGGCTACCTGGACTTGAGGTGCAGAGCTTCTCTTGTTTTGCCGAGCATGCTCAAGGCTGTGGCAGCAATGTGCGAGGATGTGAGTCCAGCCTCTGCCATTTGGTCCTGAGGTGATCCGTGGTCAATGTAACGGTCTGGAAGTACAATAGGCCTCCACTGCAAAGTCACAGAGTCACTTCGTAAGCTTTCCATAATTTTCGAAGCCAGCGTTACTTACTTTGAGCTTTCCATCCAAAAGACCGTCGAGCGCTAAGAAGTGAACAACATGAGATCCAAAACCACCAATCGATCCTTCTTCCACGGTGATGAGAACTTCGTGCTCCTTTGCGAGCTGCCTTACTAGCTGCTGGTCCAGAGGCTTGCAGAATCGGGCGTCTGCAACTGTGACAGATAAGCCGTGTTCTTGAAGCAGGTTACGGGCCCCCAGGCAGTTTTGTACCATGGTTCCGTAGCCCAGGAGAGCAACGCGGGATCCTTCAACCAGTATCCTTCCTTTTCCAATCTGGCGTAAACCTCAGGGGTCAGTTGGATGCTCTCGACTTGGATATGCGGCTTACCTCAACCGGTGTTCCTTTGTTTCCAGCCGGAAGTAACGCTCCAATACCGTTCCCGCGAGGATATCTGAAGCACGATGGTCTGTCGTCGATGGCCGCTGCTGTAGCAATCATATGCATGAGTTCGGCTTCGTCAGCGGGTGCCATGACCACCATGTTTGGAAGGCAAGCCATGTAAGTGACATCAAATGCACCGCAATGTGTCGGTCCGTCTGCTCCAACGAGTCCTGCCCTGTCCATTGCAAATCTGACTGGGAGTTTTTGAAGGTCGACGTCGTGAACCACCTGCAAACCAAGTTGTTAGATGGCTGGTCCATAAACTCGTCTGTAAGCACGCACCTGGTCGTATCCTCTTTGGAGGAATGAAGAGTAAATTGCGCAGAAAGGCTTGATTCCTTCGCTCGCAAGTCCAGCGGCAAAAGTTACTGCATGCTGCTCTGCAATGCCAACATCAAAGCATCGCTCTGGAAACTGCTTCTGGAAGATGTTGAGGCCCGTGCCTCCACCCATTGCTGCGTGGATTGCTACGATGCTCTCGTCCTTCTGTGCCTCTGCAACGAGGGACTCTGCAAAGTATGTGGTGTATGCCTTGGTTGCTGGCTTTCCTTTTTGCTGCTTGCCAGTTGCAGGATCAAACTTGACAACTCCTGGAGGGTAACTCCTGTGTGTAAGTTCTCTATCGATGCAATCCTTTAGCTTCAAAACTCACCATGATACTTGTCTGCAGCTCTCTCTGCGTAAGGATAGCCGTGCCCCTTCTCAGTGACAACGTGAATCAGGACCGGTCCAATTGTCTCAGCTGCCTTAACCTCTTTGAGGATGGTGATAAGATCGTCAATCCTGTGCCCGTCAACGGGACCGATGTAGTACAGGCCGAGTTCTTCAAAGAAAGTAGCTCCGGTACCACTGATCATTCCGCGAGCATATTCATCGACCTTGGCAGCAAGCTGGTGCATGTGTCCTCCGATTTGCTTGGTAACTCCCTGGTAAGGCGTAGGCGGTTTTCTTAGAAGTTAGATTCTGATTTTCGTACCTTTGCCACTTCGCGCAGCTCTCGAAGCTTTTTGCTCGACTGTAGCCTGCTCAGAGCACTGCTGAGAGCTCCAACTGGTGGAGCCGGGCCGTCCAGAGTTGCTGTTGGTAGGGAGACTTGCTTGTTGTCGTTAAGAATGACAATCATGTTTGTGTCCAGGTATCCCGCATTGTTCATCGCTTCGTATGCTTGTCCGGCCGTCATGGCGCCGTCTCCAATGACTGCAATCACGTTGTTCTTCTTGCCTTGGAGGTCTCTTGCAACAGCCATTCCTGCAACGCGTAAAGGTCTCCAATTAGTTTTCGTTCCATCTTTCTAAAATTGAAGTTTTGACTCTACCCAGGCCAGCGGAGATCGTTGTCGAGCTGTGTCCGGCACCAAATGGATCATATTCGCTTTCAGAACGCTTGGTGAAGCCACAAATGCCGTCGGTCTGCCGCAACGTGTGCATTCTGGACCTCCGTCCCGTGAGAATTTTGTGAGGATACGTCTGCAACCGCACCGCACTCGAGCGTGTCAGTCAGATATTGCTGCATAGTGAAGGGACTTTTCGGATTCGCACCTGGTGGCCGACATCCCACAGAATTTTATCTTCCGGCGTGTTGAACACATGGTGGAGCGCGACAGTGAGCTCCACTACTCCCAGGCTGGATCCCAAGTGACCGCCAGTCTTGGAAACAGAGAAGATGGTCTCGTTCCGGAGCTCCTCAGCCAGCTGCTCCAGATCCTGCTTGCCGGAAGAGACATCTCATTAGCTGGCTGCAGGAAAAACAGATCGCGACTTACAGAAACTCCCAAGTTTTTCATGTGAAGTGGATAGTTGATGGTGTCCAGCAGTGGCGTCGGAGGCTTCTCGGAGAAGTATTCAGGTGCCTCGGACAGCGCTGAAGCTCGAACCACGACGGTACTCTGCTTCAAAGGGGAGCAAGATCACGTCAGTCAGATGCAGATGCAGATGAGCAAAAGGGACGAGTACCTGAGAATGTGGAGCAGTTTTAGCAAGCTTGGCTGCAGAGCCAAACTCTCGGATGCTTCCGGAAACATTGGACTTGAATGCCAAAGCCGCGGAGCTGCTGCAAGCAGGAGAATTGAGCGAGTCTCGGCTAAGCTTGGCCGATACTTGCTGGGAGCAGATGGAAGCGCAAGCCATTTCGTTAAGCCGACAGAGTCCGAGAGAGAGAGTTGACACTGAGTCTTGGGAGAACTGGAAGTGGGGGGACCTCTTTTATATTCAGCGATACCGCTGGGATTCTTCGAGGAAAACGAACAAGTGAGTACAGTTAAATGGAGCAACAGACGGTCTAGTCGAGGGGAGGACCGGGCGCAATGAAACGAAGTGGCGGACGTGGTGCAGTCAATCCAATCCAAATCCTTTGGACGGTTGCAGCGAGAGAATGCTTCTTCCACTCACAGGAACATAAACACCAGCAAGAGGGGCGGCGATGGAACAAATCTCTTTCTTCCTGTTGGATACGTGGTAACGCGAGAGACAACAAAAGGAGCTTTTTGTTACTAGTGCTCGTCGCGTTGTCGAGATGTGAGCGGCAGGCACTAGACTAAACAATGGAGATAAAAGACTCGGGGCACAGCTCATGGCGACACGCATATAATTTATATTCGGAAGAAAGACGAGACACAACAGATGTTCTTCGCCAGTGATAGACTGGGGAGTTAACGCATGGTCGCCCATCCAAGAAAAAGCGGGAATATTGCGTGCTCCGTGTGTAGATGGCTTTGCAATGCGACTAAGTCGAGTCGCCTCATAATTCAATCGCTACTGATCGTTCAACGCAGGCCTACTGCACTGCACTGGTTGGTTGGCGGATGATTTTCGCGGGTGGTGGTGTTCTAAGCTTTGAATTTCTTGCATCGAGGACGAGCTACAACTCAACCTTCACATCAGAGAAATAGAGGTTTCCAAGTCTTGAGCCACGTCTCTTATCCTTCACGGCCCATGCATGGAACACCTTTTCGATAGAGCCAACCAAGAATGTTTTCCATGCGCCAAAGACTGTCCACGAGTATTAAGTGGCCATGTCTAAAGGGATGATTTTCGAGGGTGGTGGCCCTCTAAGCTTGGATTTCTTGCATTAAAGACGAGCTACATCTGCGACCTTGAACAGGAGCTAGTCTTCTTTTTGATAAACAGAGCTTATAAACCAAAAACGTTTTCAAAGACTGTCCACGAGAATATAGATAGACTAGAAAAGAAAAATACGTAAGTGGCCATGGCGGCCTTCCTCGCTCGATGCTTGGACAGCACCAGGTGAGTCGTGAGGTTTGAGTCCAGACGGGAGTGACTCAACGCATTGTGAGTCAGATCAGCGAGGAGCCTGGCGGATGAAGTTCGCATCGTGTTGACGAGGAACAAGCTTGGTCGGCGAGCAGTCCACCACATCCTTACGGCTTCCGAAAGAAAAGTGAGTCTTCTATCGGGTCTCCTCCTGGGGCCGAAACAAACTACTGAATGTTTTCGAAGGCATTCGAGATTGCAAAGAGAAATGCTCACCTGGTGCGCTCGGCTGGAGCTCGCAAGCAGCCCCTGGCCGACACTTACTACAAGTACTGCCAAGCGCTCCAGTGGCCTTACATTTTCATCCATCGGGTAACACTCGTGTCGTCGCCATTGCCACTCCCCCGGTTGTTTTGTCGCAGGACAGCATTGGTGGGGATAACCTGGTTGTCGTCGACTTGAGGACTTTGGGACTGTCCGAGGGCCGCCTGGAACAACTAGTGACCTTGGTGGTCGCAACTCTGGGACCTCTAAATGACGAGTGCTGGCATCAAACACTACAGACTACATCTGAGATTTTTGTTGGCTTGCCTACGAAAGAACCGGATGACAAGCCGTTAGAATCTGGCAATGAAGATCAAGTCATACCCAGTTTGAGGGGAATGTTGCGCTTCCAGGGGACCTTTGGCGAGACGAAAAATATGTGCCGAGCATCACTGGACATCTGCCATTCGTTTCTGGTAGACAATGGCATCGAACTCACAAAGCCATGGTGGACAGTAGACTGAAAAACAAGAGAAAAGGATGGCCTTGTGCCGAGGGGGTAGCAACAAGTTTTAAGCAGGAAAAAAAGGTACAGCTCACGTTCTACCTAGTTATCAGACCTTTCATCCTGATACGGGGCAAACAAAATTGACGAGTTATGTCCCCCAAATCCGAAAGAGTTCGAGAGCGCAACTTTCACATCAAATCGTTGCTTTTGGCTTCCCACAATGTAGTCCATATTCTGCAGCGAAATTCTTTCAGGCCAAACAAAACATGGAAAGCAAATGACGGACGAAAACGCACCACATCTTTCTCCGGATTCTCGATGTTTATGGTGGGATGCAGCCAACCTGTTTTGATAGCCTGCATTGCGGTTGCGTGTCAGAAGGAATACGCAACACACTGCTTTTGAAAAGAGTACCTGGATAGTGGCTATGGCATCTACCGCTCCTGCAGCTCCTAAAAGGTGACCCATCATCGATTTCGTTGAATTGACTCTCAACTGCAACCGCAAGATCTCATGACACGTCCAGATGAGTCCTTCAAATAAATACCTCAGTGTTGTCGCCAAGGGACTGCATTATGGCTTTGTACTCTTGAACATCTCCAGACCTTGTCGACGCGGCATGAGCATTAACATAGTTGACATCGTCCCGTCTCACGCCGGATTGGTCCAGCGCCTTTTCAATGCAAAGAAGCATTCCAGTGCCTAAAGACAGGAAGAAAAATGTCACTCTTTTCTTTCCACGAACCTTTGAATTTACCTTCCGGATGAGCTGCAGTCACATGATACGCATCACATGTAAGGCTTCCGCCGAGAAATTCAGCATAGATTTCTGCTCCTCGTCTCTGGGAAAACTCCAATCATGTTCTGGAAAGAGGCTTTGCATTGTCACCAACCTTTGCATGCTCCAGTTCCTCCAGAACAAGGGCGCCTGCACCTTCTCCAAGAACAAAGCCATCCCGATCCTGGACAATGAAACTCAGATAAGTGTCCTACACGAGACAGAGAGAGAAAGTTACCCGATCCCAGGGACGTGACGCTTTACTGGGATCGTCATTTCGCTGTGACAGTGCTCTGCAAGCGACAAATCCTCCAAGACCTGAGAAAGGTGTCAAGACATCAGCACAATTCAGCGCACGTAATACCAATTGGAATGATCGCCGCATCCGACCCGCCGGAGACCATGACGTCCTGAGTAAAGAAAACATAAGCAGACGAGCGACAAACTTCAACGCCAGAGGTGCTTACCGCTTCCCCTCGAATGATGTGGTTTGCAGCACTTAATATACACGAATTGCTGGTAGCACACGCCGTCGAGATTGCATAGTTTGGACCCATCCATCCCTGTGCGGTTTTCAAAAGCCACATTAGTCAACGACGCAACGTCAAAGTTACCAGATCCATGGCCAGCATTGCTGACCCCATGTTAGTCGTAGCAAATGGGACACAAAACGGGTTCATCTTGCGGTACGAGACCCTCAAAGCTTCGATGGCATCGTTAAAGACCTGGAATTTTCGGATATCCATCAACTCCAAACAAACAAATGCATCCAAAGGCAGGAATATGTGAGGGATGTACCTGCATGCCTCCCATGGCGGACCCCATGAGAACTCCACACTTGCTCTTGTCAAGCTCCACTGAGCCATCGCCAGCGATTCCAGCATTGGCCACCGCTTTTTTGCCAGCGGTAAGGAGGTAAAGCATGAACTTGTCCATGCGTCTCGAAAACTTTGGAGCAACCCAGCCATCAGCGGAGAAGTCCTTGATCTCTCCAGCAATCCGCTGCAAAGAAAGAAAACGAAGAAACTCTTAATTGACAAAGTCTCCGGAAGTGTCTGCCTACCGTGGGAAACTCCTGGCAGTCGAAGTTTTGGATCTCCGAGATCCCGCTGTTTCCTTCAAGCAGGTTGTCGTAGAAGGTATCTGGATCATTACCAAGAGAGGAAACAAGACCCATTCCTGTGATCACAACCCTTCTGTCTCGAACGGAGGTGCTGCTCCTACTCTCCTCGCCCGCATCCTTTTCGGGAGCCACGAGCCGATCTAGAAAACAGAGAAGAATCCGGCTAAGAAAAAAAAACACGAAAAAAAGAGAAGATTCCTATGCATGCATCCGCATGCAAGCGCTGCATGCCCCAGCAAAAGAAGAGCTAGAAGGAATCGAAGAACACCAATTCTACCTGTGATCGCAGCGGCGCATCTCGTCTTGCTTGCCCTCTTTCGCTGAGGGGAGCCAAGAATCCGCGCTTCTTCCTCCCACAAGAACGATGACCACTTGGCATTGCGATAGTGAGGGCAAGCCTCGAAAGAGAGGCACGCGACCATGCTGCTCCCCATGGTCCCCGCCGCTGCCACAATCCGCTGGTGCAGCATGGCGGCGCTGCGAGATCTGGCGCTCCGCCTTCCGGATCTCCTGCTACTGCTCACCCTGCCTGTCAAGCCTGCATTGGCGCCCGGCTGCTGCTCCATTCCAGAGATCCCCGCCATTGTTCTTGTGTAGCATGCCGCGAGCAGCCAGCTACACAGCGGCGCGGAGACGGTGAGAGGAGTGCTCATCGCAACGCCCCCTTCGCTGCGGGTTTAGGGTTTAAAGAGCGAGGGAGCCATGTATAAAAGCTTTCACTGGATTGCGATGGTCCGCCACGTCACCAGTTCCACGTCGGCACTTCCAGGTCATCCGGTTTTAGGGTTCTTGGGGGCTTTGGCGACAAGCCAATGGATTCCAAGGTCTCGCAGTACTTGGCGGCACTCAACAGCGAGGCAGAGGAAGCTCTCAAGGGATCCGAGACGGATTTAGGCGTGATCGTCGACGATCTATCGGGCTTTTGCAGTCAGCTGGTGTCCGATGAGGATTTCGCCTTCGCCGCCTCCGCCGTCTTCGACAGGGATACAGGGATTTTCTGCGTCGTCGACAGGCTCAGGATCTCTCGGGAGAGGAGCGTCCACAAGGCGCGGGAGAAGTGCCTGGTGTTTCTGGGGGAATTTGTGCGAAATGTCGGCCCGGAGCGAGCCTCCTTGTATTGTTCCTTGATCAAGGTACGACTTTTGGAATGCAGGCCACTCTCATCTTGTGTTTTTGTCTTCCAGGAGAATGCGCTGAGAATACTTCGCATTGACGAGACGCGATCGGTGCAAGCAGCTGCGCTGGCTCCGATCATTTCCTTGCTTGAGATCGGGGTTCTTCGGGCTGGCAACGCTACGAGCGACGGATTGATGGACTGGAAAGTTGCTGAAATGCTGCTTGCGGAGTTCCGGAAAGCTAAAACTTCTGGTTCTTGTAAGTGGGAACACTTACACCTTGTTTGCTTTTGCTCACTCGTCTTGATTGGTGATCTTTGCAGTGAGAGCAAATATACTCATCACACTTGGCTACTCAATCGAGCTCTTTCCATCTCTTTATGATGATGGCAATGTGAGCGCTGTTCTCCGCCTTTGTTTAAATACCCTGGAAGAACAGCTTAAGCAGTCCGGGAAAGATGTCACCTTCGTGCTCATTGCGGGTGCCGTCAAGTGCCTTGATTCGTTGCTTCAGTGGTTCGATGACACAGTGCCGGCTGGTGGTACGCGACTTAATTCTGTCGAGCATTACAATACGTTCTTGTCTCTGACTTCCTTTCTAGGAACTATTGAGAATTCGAAGAGAGCGTATGCTTATCTGGAGCAAGTTCTCTACTACAGGGAAGACATGAAACGATACGAAATGATTCGAGGTAACTTGGTCATTACTAGGTGCTGTGGTAGCCATGGCATTTTGCAGCTGGATTACGGCTTCTCGCAAGACATGCATGGCGTTTTCGACTTGCGCTTTTCAAGAACAGTGGAGATTTATTGAAGTGGCTGCAAATATATTGGTATGTTGCATTCTCTTTCTTTCTTTGTTAACATTTTCGTTTCTACTAGCCTACATGGCAATGCTAGTTTAAGATCGGCAGCCTTACCTGCATACGACCAGTTTGTATCACAGGTCTTGATTTTGCTCCCTTTTCCTATCAATGACGACGCTTTTGCTTTGCAGATCTCGAGCTGCTTGATATCTGATGATCGCCGAATAGAAGATCCGGACCGAACCTACAAGGTTACTCGTAACTTGCGTTTCCGATCACGGCTTTGATGAGCTTTTCCTGCAGGCATTAATGAAGCACATGCTTGACACACTTGAGTTCAGGCAAGATAACCCGAAGCTTGTAGCGCTGGCTATTCGGGGCATCGGAAAGCTTGCAGGACCTATCGTAAAATATTCTGGGAAATCTGATCTTGAGAAAGCCTTTCAAAGACTAGTCCCTTTTGTTGGAAGTTTCTCCAGGTTTATGCATTGTCTATCTCTTTTATGTTTGTCTAATGTCATCTATCTTTATGCAGAGGTGGTGATAGTCATGAAGAATTAGGATACGCGGTGACCGTAGTAGGTGCATTTGCGAATATCGTTGTATATATTGACCGGGTGGAAGATTTCATGGTTTCATTGATTACCGAGGTGGGTTTGTTTTGGTAATATGGTCATTCTTTATGGTTTCTTTTCTTCTTGTTTTGTGCAGGTTACTGGTCGTATATTTTTCCAGTACCCTTCCTTATTTCCTAAGCAACGGGTGGCAATTCATAGCACCATCAGCAGTCTTTTAAAGGCTTTGTATCCGAAGGGGAATCTTTTTGTCATGTTCCTGATGAATGTTGGTGAGTACGCTGTGTAAAAGCTGACGTGAATCGACTTGTGTTTTTATCCTTGCAGTATGGTCTTCTCTTGATCGTGCAACAGATACGGATCCGGCGTCAGATTTCTTGTGGAAGAGCTATTGTGACCTTTGGTGCCAGATCCTGACGAACATTTCCGAGCCATCACATACGGAAAACTTACAAGATGATGATGGCATTGTGGGCGTCGATCTCGCGGTGTTAAGCGTGAATGTTTCCGATCTTAAAACTACAATTTTCGACTCGTTAATCCGTAGTATTATGAAGCTGATGATGGAGCTCAACTTAAAGTATAGGGTCAAAGACCTGAACAAGGCAAATAGCTCGGAATTTTCAGGTACGCATGGTTGCCCGGCATTTCCTCAAAACTTATTAAGTAACAGGACAAGAGCCGGAAGCTGAAGCTCCTATAGAACCGTTGGACAAAAATCAGATGCTGAAATATCTGAACTTGGTATTGAACTACCTGGGAGGTTTTTTTGTCCCGCTGACTCTTGTTTCTTATTTCTTTGTAGGTGGATTTTGTTCTTCGTCTGTTCGCAAGGTATTTACTTACTTCCTCTGAGTTCCTGGCGTTTTATCTTTTTCTTATAGTGACCATGCGTCTTTGATGGAAAAGTGGATTTTTCCGTTCTGTCGATGTTTGATCGATCTCTCAAGGAAATATCCTCTTATAAGCGGATTCTACAAGCTTTTGGCTGCTGTGATTAGTATTGGTGATCAGAAAGGCTACTTCGAGAAAGACCAGGTACCGCTAAATCTCTGTTCTGGGCTTTATTCTCAGGTTATTTTCTGTGCAGTCTTCTCATGTAATGATCCAAGAATTCTTACACGAGGTCCTAATCACTAGCAGGCGCTATAAACTCGAGCTTCTTGGTTCTTGTCTTCATCTATGTCTCTCGTGCCCTCCGACCCTTCTAGATCTGGCATCAATAGTAAGGCCCTTGAAGCTGGCATTAAAAATTGGACTCAGATATCCTTTTTGAGAATTTTCTTTCGATCAGTCTTTTGTCCTTAACTTCCAGCCACATATCATCCTTTGGCAAATATTGCACTGGATTCTCTCCAGCGGTGGTATAACTTGCATCCAAAAGAACTACAAAAGCAGTTACAGGACATAGTCCCCTGTCTACGAGACTATTTGTTTGAAGTAGCGGACTCCAGAAAGAAGACCATGGATTCTAAAACACTGAAGCTTTTAGAAAAAGAGAAAACAAAGGTACTTGCTTCTTTGCATAGTCGAGATTTAATTTTTTTTGTAGGTTGTTACATTCGAAGATATTCAAGTTCGCGTTCAACGTTTTATTGGTCAAATAGGGGCATATGGTCATTTTCTTGTTCCTGACGCGAATCTTTTGCAATCTAGCGGGACGGGAGGATTGTCCTGGGACGTGGTGGATCGTATTAAGTTTACAGTACCTTTAAGAGATGAGAAGCTGGACATTTGGCTTGGTAAGAATAAAAATTACTGGGTATGTCATTAATTGTGCTCGTAGACTGTTTGCTTCCCAGGATTGTGGAATTGGCCAAATCTTCCAGCGACCGGAAAATTAAAGTACTCTCGTCTGAGTTGCTGCATGCAATGTGTTTGCTTATGCTGGGAAATGCTGCAAAAGGCCCATTACGAACCAGAAATGACGAGACAAATCTGGTAAGCGAACATAGTAAATCGTCTCTTTCCTTATCGAGTTTCTTGTTCAGGGAAACTATGTGCAACTTTATAGAAAGCTTTTTCCTTCTGTCCTTTGGCTTGCGACAGATGTTGAACCGGTAATAACTCTCTAGCTTGTATAGTTCGAAATTTAATCACGATATCGTTCCAGGTTACGCAACAACTTTTCAGTGAGTTCGCTATGCAGTTGATTCATTGGATGACAAGCAATACTCAAAAGGAAAATCCGGAAACTATGGCCCTCTTAGACGCTATACTTGAAGGACTTGTCGACGCTGAAAACGGTTCCTTGAGGTGTGTCAATAAGTGTTTTGCTTTTTCTTTTAATTCATATTGTCCTCCTTGCAGAGAATTATGCTCTCGATGTTTTAGCGAGTTCTTGCGTTGGTCAATTCGGCATGCTCCTCCAGAGGTTTGACAGTTTTTAGCAGTTTGAGACATGATTGTGTTTCGTTTGTTTCAGGCTAGTAACTTTGTGAATGTGACGTCTATGCTACGTCGCCTGTACAATCGCATGGACCATCCAAGTCCTTACCATCGACTTGGTGCATCTATGGCTGCCTATCAAATTTATCCTATCCTGCGGCAGAACTCATCCATTGTGGACCGCTATATTTTTGAGCTTGCATTTTTCCTCCTGAAATCTTTACGCGTGGGTGATACGGATGCTGAGCAGATTGGTAAGGGAAAAATAAGAGAAAGCCTAGTTTACTTTGCTTTTTGTGACAGGAACAATAAAGCAAGCATATAAAGCTCTGGATGGCATTGAGAAGCTTATTGTGCGAAATATTAGTTTGCTTCAGAAGAATAAGAAGGACAGAGTGCTATTCTGTACCTTGGAAGACTTCATGACGTGGCTGTTCGAGCAAACAAAACTTAGTCACGAGAGGTGTCGCACGAAATGTATGGCCTTGTTATCTGCGGTCTGTTCTGCCTTGCCGGGTATGTAACATTTGTTGTGAGTGTTTTGCTGAGACATCTTTAATGGCTTTGCAGGAGGATCGTGCGTGCACTGGTTTCGCGAGAGGTTCACTGGCACCCAGCGCCTTCATATGTTAGCAGGTTTATTCGAGAAACTGCCTTCGAATATATTCACTGCAAAGTCAATGCCTGAGCTTTCGACAGCTTTACATTCTCTACACTGGTACCTAGGAGCTCAAATGATAGGTTTGGAGGAGATTGAACCGCTCAGAACGCAGATATTTT